AATCATGTTTGAGTGTAAATGCAGTTTTCAGACAATCCCCTTCTCAAAAGTTCTTGTCTCTTGCAATGATTTCTTTTTTTTTTTTTAACATTGTGAAGCTCTACTTAGAACCTTCTTAAGATCCAATAGTGCAAAATGCAAATTCTTGCACTTTTTTGACTGGTCTTCAGATTTTGATCAGGACTGTAGAATACAGGACTGTGTGAACCACAGACATATTTTAATTTGGAAAATCTGGAACAAGAGGAAGATCATTAAAATGGTGAAAAAAAAAACACTTTCTGGCATTATGTACAGTAAATAAAGTTTTTGACCATGTGACTGAATATATTTTGTGAATCTGAGTGGCTCTCGCACAGAAGAGGATTAGAAAAGATAAATTCTGGGAAAATAAAGTCAGAGTTCTGATTTTATTTTATTATTTTTTTTTTTTGGGCCTAATCCACTTCTAAACTTTGTCATCTAACAAATCAAGAGATCTTGTGAAGAAATTGCTTTAAAAAATAGAAAAGTATGAAACTGTCCGCCTGTCCTTTGAACACATATGGATCCGACTGAACAAGAAACATTCGACTTTCACTTTCCGCTCACCTTCGGCGTGATTTTGATGGAGGCGATGTCGGCCTCGGGATCAACATCCTGCACAGTAGCAGTGTACGTGTCTCCGTTGGTGAGCTTCACACGGACGCCTCTCTTGTTGGCCACGACGTGAGCGTTGGTGATGATGAGGCCGTCGCTGCTGATGATAAAACCTGAGCCATTTGAGACGGGAACTTCTCTTCCTGAGAATGGATGTCTGTAGAAGAACAAAAGCAACTCTCAGACTTTGTGATTTTAAGCCACTTTATGCTGTATTTATAGACCAATGAAAGAGGAAAATCARTTCACAGACTATTAAAATACACATTACTGTGAAATATTTACAACTTGAGTGTATTTTCAGGTTGTTGAATCTATTTATTCATCTTTATTTAACTCGGCAAATCCCACTGAGATCACAGAGTTCTTTTGCGAGGGATGCCTGGGCCTGAAGGCAAGCTAACATCAGAGCTGTGTGTTGGTTAGAATTAGGTGATATGATACACATCAGCACACAATGTGAACCATCGAGCTGCCATAATCTTTGATAAAATAAAAGTAGAAGGTGTCACATTTTATTGATCTGTGCTTTGGTAAAAATTCACTTGTTTTTATTTGCCTTTTAACATCTCAGTCATTTTAACAAACATTTAGAAAACCTCAGCAAAAATTAAAGAAAAGATCTTATTTCCAATAAGAATGTTTTGTAGAGACAATTATAGAGGAGATGAAAAGGTCAACTCACCTGCCCAGAATTTCAATATAAACCACAGCTGGGGTGGACTTCTCCACTACATCAGCTATAAAGTTGTATTTGAAGCGGGGGCTGTCGGGTTTGAAGGGGTGAGCACAGCGAGCTGAGGGCAGGAGTTCCAGAAAACTTCCAGGTACAGAAACTTTACTGTCTCCCTTTTCGTCCTTTCCACTGTCCAGAAACGCGGCTCCGCAGATCCCCAAACCCACCGAGACCGTCCTTAACAGGGTAGAGCTGCCTTTCCAACCTCCTCCTTCTCCTCCTCCTCCCAAAGCCGGAGATTTTCTTTCAATGCGTGTGCCTCCCTGCGGCTCTCCGATTTTACAAACGGCAGCAGAAGACACCCGGCTGACCGCCTTCAGTCCCGGACACTGAGCGTGTGTCCTTAACGCTGACAGAGAACACCTACTGACACAACTTACTGCCATGTTGTTGCATCAGTCACAGCCTAAGTTACGAGTTTTTACCCGGAATAACAACACTTTCTATTGAAATACGTGTAAACTAAATAAACTACTCCATTATAGTAGTAATATTCATTTTGGCTACCTTACAAGCGAGACAATGTAACACTTCCTTTAATTACCCTTGTTCGGGGAGTGACCATCGTACGCAGGAAGTTCAACTTTAACTGCGCATGCGTTGTTACTCTTCTTCTACGCTTTTTGGAGTTCAGACGCCAGTCACATGACGCCAGTCCGCCGTGGTATGAGCACGACGCCATCTTGTGAGGGGCGGGCTGTCAATGAAAACAATTGATCACGGCTAGATTTCCGAAAAAATATTAATTTTTCGTCCATTTTTTGATCATGATTTCTCCATTGAGAAAATTAAACTTTAATCTAAGAAATTCATGACAAGTCAAATAAGAAAATCCAATTTTTAAACGAAATCAAGAGTTCATTTAAGGAAACTGCTTCTACAAAAGATTATGCATGAATACTTTTAAAGAAATTAAAATGAATTGTTTAGTTGTGAAAATGACTGGTTTCCCACGGTTTCTTGCCTTACTACAGATGGAACTTATATATATATGTTGCAGCTTGAAGACATCAGTCCACGAATGGAGTAGTTTTTATCCAAACATTTATTTTCTTTTAGCTCCACACAGAATATAAACTGGCTCCACACACTCACGGTGCTTCTGCTGCGGTCAGAGTCCGGGTGTAAAGTAACGTTCAAGAGACGCCCGTTTCAGAACCTTTCCACATGGTGCATTCNTCCTCTCATAGTTTCCTTTTACTTTTCTAGATTTCTATTTCCAAAATTCATTTTATAACATGCCAAAAATTGCAGAACTTTTTGCTTGAAAATAGTAAATACGAAGAAGAAGAAAACCGGTAGTGACGTATTGTTTTGAAAGTACGTCACAGGAAACGCGGCAATGCTGAGAATTTTGAAAATTGCGGGCTAGCGATTTAGCAGCTAGTTTACGTGTCGGTTGTTTTAAGTTTTGTTAAATTGATCCCCAAACCATGACGTCGTATAATTTCTTACAACAGTCACGTGTCGGCTTCGAGTCTCCTGCTAAGGTGTTTGCGAAGCTAAAGTCGAAAGTTCAACGGGAGGCGAATGGGGGAGTTTTTACATGCAACGGTTCGCTGTATAACATCATAGAGCAACACGGAGGAGCAGGATTTCACTCGCCCGGGAAGAAAACCGAATTCAAGGAGAACCGGGAGTTCGGTCCTTGCCACAACGACGCGGAGGCATTGACTCTGTCGCCCATTTCGAGTCCTCAAAAACCCAGCGGTCATCCTCGTAAACCGCTGAAGGAAACCTCTCTGACAACTGACGTACGAAGGGGCAGAGCTTTCCTGGAGTCAACCGCTGTTTCTCAACTTCTCCCTGTGGTCAACGGAGATCAGACCAGTAACTCGAATGGTTTCATCGCATCCAGAGGGGATCCAGTGAAGATGCAGCCCGCTGAGAACTGTGCAAGAAGTGTGTTTGAGAAGAAAACTACCCCTTTCACTTCCGCCAGTGTGTTTTCCCCAATAAGGAGCAGGCTGAGGAAGAGGAAACTGGATCAGCAGGAGACAGATACGTTCATCAGAGCCCCAGAGGAAAGGAGAAATCCTGCTTCCACTCAGGATTATACCCACAACAGCACTAACCTGCAGGATTTGGGTCACGGTAGAGGATTCCCTGCTGAGCAGTCAGGGATAACCCAGGATGAAGCCACGCGCCCACAACCAATGTTCAGTTGCAAAAAAGGTGCGTTAGATAATCTAGATTAATTTCCTCTTTCAAATGGTGCGCCACATTTGTAAGGAACATGCACTTGTGGGATGAGCAGTAAAACTGAGTGTGAAAAAAAAAAAGCCAAATCTTCTCTGCCTGACAGCTTATTTCTGTTGTTGCTGTTTGACACTTGTTTTAAGCTTCTGGTGCTGCCTATCATAAGACTTATTGACAAGAAGTATTATTACAAAAAATAATAATAATCAAACACATTTCCTCACTTTTTGTGCTAAGTATATTTACACACATTACAATAAGGTATAGACA